AGCCATTCATCACCCAGCCTGTATTTATGCTGTGTCAGAAAATACAGGAGGAAGAAGAGGATGGTGACTGATGGTCTCTGAAGCTTCTGCTGCAGACACCTACTATGAGAGGGACCATCCCAAATCAGTTGGCACCTGATCGATGGGGATTTCTTCTCTGCTGTGTCTTGTACAAACAGGAGCTGGGCTGGTGCCTCCAGGAGCTGTCACATCTCTGTCCGTTGCGATATAAAAATCACCAGAGGAAGCTTTCAGGATTACCCTGGGCAGACTGATGTCCTCACTTCCCCGCATCGCCGTAAAAATTGCTGCTCTATTCCAAATCCTCTTACGTTTGTTACTTTCCCTTTATTCCCCGCGAGAGGCAGGAGCTCTCCCAGCGTAATCCTCAGGCTGCCACACCAGCCCCATCATCAAATCCAGATGATTCCTGAGAATTAAAGCTTTTGCTGGATTTTTTTTGTGTGTGTGTCTGTTATACACCAAGTGCTTTAAGGATACTAAAAAGCCACTGGATCCTGAGCTGGAGGAGAAGCCAAAGGAGGAGAAGCTCTGGCATGGAGATGTGTTGGAGGACACAAAGTCCCCCCCTCGCTTCCCCACCCATCCTCATGTCTGTGCATGGTGGTGGTGGCACTCTGCCACCATCCCTTTAGGGTTAGGGTTGTGTTCCCCACATTTCCAGCCCTACAGAAGTGAATTAGTTCCCCTAATCCCCATCAGGAAGATCTTTTTCAACTCAAATGGGATCAGTCAAGCCCTGGTACAGCTGAGTTCCCACCACACTTGAGGGTACAGGGATTCCACCAGTAGGAGCCAAAGAGACAGATCCATTCTCTAACTGGACCATACACTCCACCCTAGAGAAGAGACTCCATCTGCCTGGTCCCATAATTGCTGTTGGGTAATTAGGAATTCACCTCTGCAATTAGCTGCAGCTCCAACAGTGCAGGGGGGTATCTAGCCAGGAGATGGCAGTGGTGGCCAAGGCAAGACAGGACCCCTGGCTGGGGCATGGAAAGGGCTTGGGGACTTACCCCTGTGCCTTTGCTGTAAGAGTTTTAAGCAATGGGGGGTTTGCTCATTAAGTGACTAGAAACATCATGGTTTGAGGCTGTGGAAAAGGAGCAGGATCCTCCAGATCAAGCCTTGTAGGTGTGGTGGGAGTTCAGGTCTTGGACACACCAGCAGTTGAATGCCTTGAGTTATAGATACCTGGCTGCAGTGTTAGAAGAAACCAGGGCTGCCCATCTCATGAAAGACTGATGGAAACTGGGGAAGGAAGAAGAACATGGGGTGAGAAGGGGCTTGGATAGGGAGGCTGCTGGAACCATGCTCCTCTGGACTTCAGCCCAACAAATAAGACACAACTGGAAAGATGAAGCCCTAGGATGAAACATTTCTTCCAGCAGCCTGGGGAAAAGAGCCCAGCTGAGGCCTGGACACCCCTGGTGCTTGACTACTGAGAATGGGCTCCTGGTGAACTCTATGCACCATGAGCACCCGTTATGGGGGAAACCAGAGTTGACCTTATGATCTTCAGGGTCAAATGCTATAAAAGTCCTTTTAAATAGATCCTGCAAGACCCAAGGGATCTCAGTCTTGCACTCTCATCCTTTCATCATGAGGTTGTTAAATGTTCAGGTGAATGAACCACCAAGGAGCAGGACTTGGATCAGGGCTCATCCTCCTCACTGGATGAAACAAGACCAGCGCAAACCCTTTATGAAACATCCAACATTGCAGAGAAGGTGCTGGGCTGGGTGGGGCTTGGGTGTCCTCCTCACCAGGGAGGCTCTGGCTGCTCTCCCCTGCCCTGGGCTGTTTATTCTTCTGAATTCACAAGTGTTTTTCCAAAACACTCTTGCAGTCAGACGACAATTTGGGTTCAAAAAGTCAATGTAGATGTTCTTCTTTAAAAAGAAACAGAAGAGTGGTGGCAATCATTCCCAGCACCACTGCTGACCAAGCAAGAGGTTCCCTCCTTAGCAAGCAGTACCAGTTTGCTTTGATGACCAAAGCTGATCATGAGTGTAAAAAGACGTTGAGATGGGAAGGAGAGTGAGGGACATGGAGTGAGGAGGGAGAGAGCTCTGATGTTTTGCTTGATCTTTGGATGTGAAACAGCCCCAGAGGTCAGGTAGTCCCAGGCCAGGCTTCTGCTGATGTTTTCCAGTGCTTTCTGGAGTCTGCTCTTCAAAAAGTCCCCTTGGTTGTGTGTGATACAGTCAAAGACTTGGGGAACCAGGTTATTTGACAGGGAGCAGAGGAAGCCCCTGGTTGCTGAATCACAACCTTCCACTCAACCTTACTTACTTCTAGAGAAATAACTTCATCTTAATAAACACAGACCATCTCCAGAAATTCATCCTCCTTGGGCAAACCACCTGGATGGAAACATGAGACAGCCCTTGCTCTCACAACCACCAGCACACAGAGGTCCCACAGATGGGCACCACATGTCTGGCTCTCACCATGGCCTCCTGGCACTGAGCAGTGGCGCAGCGCAGACACAGTGCATGGAAATGGAGGCACTGAGCAGTGAAGGTGCCCAGCGAGGAAGGACATGGGCTGAACCTTCTCCTCCTTATCCCAGCATGGTGTTTTCACCACAACAATGTCTTACCTCCTGTATTGATCAGAGGAAATGGCAAAAAACCCAGAAGAGAAGGTTAAAAACACACCAGATTATGCCCCTCCCCCTAAACCCCACAGCATCACTGAGCAGCCCAGACTATGGCCACAGACTCTACATGACCATGAGAAGCTCTACAACTATTTGCACCTTCACTGGCAAACACTGGCCTTTTCTTAGGCAGGGAGAGGTCCTCCTCCAGCCCTGCCTCAGAAGCACTCACCTGAGCAAGGTACTGGTCAAATGTCATGACAGGCCCGAAGAAGAAGAAGGGGAGGTAGAAGTTGTACTTGAGGAGGTCAAAGATAGAGTAGATGCCTTCTTTCTTCTCAGAGCTCTCCAGTGCGAAGCTCATGCAGCGCATGATGGTGAAGCTGCTTCCTCCATAGAAGAGGACATCTTGAAGATCAAAAGCTCCCGTTACAAACCCGCTCTGGGTGAGAAACAAAGAATTACCACCAGGAATGTGGTGTCACTTCTGTGTTCCCTCCATAGAGGACATCACTCCCAGGGCAGTAGGCAAAGCTCCTAATTATGCTCCAAAACCAATTGTTCCTGGAGCTAATGAGCCTCACTGCTGCAAAAAGAAAACTGGGGCTTGATTTCCTACCTGGCTCCTGCATCTCAGAGGAGCCAGGAAGTGGTAGATCCTCTTGGCCATGTCTTCACCCAGCAGCTGTGGGCCATGCAGGCTTTGGTCTGGGGTGGGAATGCCACCCTGTTGCAGGGACATAACCCTCCCCAGGGGGTGAAGGAAAGCCAGTACAAGCCTGATGGAGATGGTGGAACACATTTCAGGAGGTAAGCAGCAGGAGAGGACAGGCAGCACTGTCCTTCAGAAGGACTGAGTAGTTTTATAAGGTCCTTCCTGAGCTTCTCTCCACCCACCAGTGAGAAAAAGTCTTAACGCAGCAGAGACCTAAAAGATTATTCACAATCTCAGCTGCACAAAAGTTCCCTCCCTCTCAAACTCTGGGGGAGCTCTGACATAGCCAGGAGAAGTGCCCAGGGTTTTGGGGGTGACCCACAGGCCCTCCCTGGAGATGAACCCGAGGAGAGGGACACAAATGGGCTGGCAAAGAGGCAGAAGAGTGGTCCAAGACAGCACCTCCCTGCCAGGAGCTGAATGGTTCCATCTTGATGGAGGCAAGACAGCAAAGCCCAGCCACGTAGCAGAGCCACTTCTGCTTGGCCAGTGCGACAGAGTAGAGGACAAGGCAGTGGGAGAGGATGATCATCAGGTAGATGGGCCCCATGCTGCCCAGCACAGCCAGGACCCCGTACAGCATGTACATCACGGCCCGGTGCTGTGAGAAGAGAGCAGCCCCGACCCATGGTCAGCTTGGTAAAAGCCCCAACCCTGCTCCCTCCCATCCTGGACCATTCCCCAAACCCCCTCCATAGATCTCAGGTCACCCTGGTGCTTTCAAATCCACCCCACCACATCCCTGACTCACCTGTGGCACTATCATGGAGCAGATCTTGCCGAAGAGGACGTGTCCCGAGAGGGCGAAGATGATGACGTTCCTGAACGAGGTGAACCACATCATCCACTCAAAATCAGCCACGTCCTGTAGGAGCAGCACCAGGTGCCTTAATGACCCCAGTCCTCACACCCCTGCCCCAACACCCATCTGGAGGGGAAACCACCCAACTTTCAAAGCTTTTTCTTCCCATTTTCCACCCAAGGGCTGCTGAGCACTTCAGCTTGATGATAAAACCCAAGGAGAGAGAAGTTGTGGCTGCTCCTCCCTGGAAGTGTTGAAGGCCAGGTTGGATGAGGCTTTGAGCAACGTGGTCTAGTGGAAGGTGTCCCTGCTGCTGGCAGGGGGGTTGGAACTGGATGATCTTTAAGGTCCCTTCCAATCCAAACCATTCTATGGTTCTATGAGAGCTGAGCAGAGGTTGCTCCTCTCAGCACACACAGCAGAGCGTTCATTGTGCTGCTGGGCTGATATTTTCCTGACTATTTCTTGAGGGAGCAAAATACAAGTCACGTGGACTTTTCAAAAGTATGTCAGCAGTAGACAAAGCAGCTCTGCTTCTCCAGCACCAACCATGTTGCCAGAAAAGACTGAGACTTTCCTCCACTTACCATCTTCCTGCCGAAGTAGTGCCAGCCTGGCTTTATGCCGTCCCGAAAGGCCTTTCTGTTCACACTGTCTGCAAAAAAAAAAAACCCAACCCAACAGAGTTACAGGGAGAGAAACAGCTCTGGGAAATGGGGTTTGAGTTTCAGCAAGGCAGGAAGCCTTCTTCATGGTGATGATGAGTCATCAGAGCTCAAACAGCATCATCCCAAAAGCTCCTCATTCTCATGAACAATCATATAAGGAGTCAGGAACCTCAACCTTTTCCAGCAAAGCCTTTTTGCAGTGTACATCTCAGGGAATTCTGGCTCATCCAATAAAATTTGCAGGTTTTTCGACAAAAAATTTGGCAACCAGCCCTGTGTAGGCAGGTTGGTTGCATGTTCCAGGCACTGGCTGGAGAGCTGTGATGTGCCACAGCTTCTTACTCTTGACCCATGGAAATGGGCGGAAGGGGGCAACCAGGCAAAAAAATAATAATCCTTTTCGATCCCTGCAAAGGATTCCCAAGATGTTTGCTGCAAAAATTAAAGTCAAGGATCTACTGCTGGTGTTGATAGCTGTAAAAGCAGCCACCTTACATCCCTCCCAGGACCTCCTTCGAGGGCAAAGAGATGAGGAACGTTACCTCTAGATGCTTCGAAGATCCCACTGCCACTGTACACCACGGCACATGTCACGACGAGAGCGTAGAACCCCAGCTCGTAGCTGGGGAGCATCGTTTTCACCCCCATGGTGGCAGGTTATCACCCCAATCGCTGTGGGGGATCCACACCTGGCAAAGGGAAGGAGAAGAGGGAAGAAAACTAAGGGTGAGAGCTCACCTGCCCTCCCACCCTTCAAACACCCTAAAGTACTGCTGATCCTCAGAAGCTCTGCTCTGCAGGCTTCCTTGATGGCTGGTAGCTGAAGATGATGGTATCACCTGGGGCTGAAGACTGGGACACAACTCAGGTGTGGGGAGTCAGGCTGCTGCTGTGTCCAGCTGTGAAACCCGCCCAGGAGCCAGGTTTTGGGGCAGCTCAGCTGGGTGGTCCTGATAAAGGGCTCTTCTCAATGAGCTGTGTCCATTCTAATTTCCCTGGAGAAAAGGAGGCTGAGGGGAGACCTTGTGGCTCTGTCCAAGTCCCTTGGAGGAGGGTGGAGAGAGGTGGGGGTGGGTCTGTTCAACCAAGGACCAAGTGACAGGACAAGAGGAAATGGGCTCCAGTTGTGGCCAGGGCAGTTGAGATGGGATGTGAGGAAGAATTTCTTTGCTGCAAGGGTTCTGAGGCATTGGAAGGGGTTGTCCAGGGCAGTGGTGGAGTCCCCATCCCTGGAGGGATTGAAGAGTTGTGTAGACATAGTGCTGAGGGACATGGGTTAGTCGGGGACTGGTCAGTGTTGGGTTCATGGTTGGACTCGATGATCTTAAAGGGCTTTTCCAATGGAGCCAATTCTGGGATCTCTGTGATGTTCAGAGATGCTCTGGGATGCCATGAACCTTGGATGGGCTTCCTCCAGCATGTTTCTGATACCCCCTCTAATTCCTAATGGGACCCTTGGAGGTGATCCAGGACAGAGCATGAAGACCCACCCCGTGCTGGAAGGGCTGTAATGGGATGTCCCCACTCCCCTGGGCTGCTGCTCACCTTCTGCTGGGGTTTTATCCAACCTCCAACTCTTGGGAGGCTCCTAAATCCCCCTTTGGACCCTGCAGACATGGTTGAGCTGTATCTGTAGAACTCAGGGGATGGCATCACCCAGCCCTGCAATTAGCCCTGAACTAATTACTCCTCCCAAGACTAATTAACCTTGGGAGCCCACCCCGAGCTCTTCAGCCTCTCCATTGCGTGTCGGCAGCTGCGATTGCGGGTGGGAGCAGGCGGGGCGGGCAGAGAACAGCCCCACCCTTGGGCATCGTCCGGCACCGTCACCCACCCGGGAACATCCCCGCGGGTGGGGGTGACCCACGAGTGACGGGGGGTGCCTCACTCTTGATTTTAGGCAGCAATAGAAGGTGCCCGGGTCACCCTCTGCCCCCGCAAAGCTTTTGCGGTGGGTGCGGAGTTAATTGCGAATTTTTATTAATTGTTTAATTATTTTTTTTCTGAAGTTTTTTTAAGAGGGGGGGGATATGGGGGTGTCTTTGGTATCAATGTGGGGTGACCCCATTTTTCCCAGCCCTGGAGGAGACGCTTTTCCTAGTGGGA